CTTTCTAAGGTGGTTATGTACCTTGCTGAGTATGTTTGTTATGTTCCTTGTTGTGTATGTTTGTTATGTTCCTTGTTGTATCCCCTTTTGAATTCTTCCATGTTCCTTGTAGATACTTCGAGGTCACTAAGGTCTCATGACCTTCTTAGCTCGTCCTCTCTCTTAGGTCGCCTTAAAAATCGCTCCTCTCCTCAAAATACAGAGGTCGTTCCTCTCAAAACGGTTGCTCGAAAGGGCGGTCCTCCTCCACCTCTACCTCGCACTGACCTTAAGAGGAAGTTAGAGGTGTCTATTGATGCTGATGCTGCTGATTTCTCTTTTGATTCCTTGGCTCCGCATGTGGATACCCTACTGTTTCCGTCCTTCAAGGATCGTTAGTCCTCGCAGACTTTTGCTGACCTTTCTCAAGAGGCTGCTGTGCAGTCTTTCCAGGTATGGTATACTCCGAAAACAAAACAAAAATTTAATAAACATGGTTATATCGGGTTACGCATCTCTTACTTGATTCCGTATTCTGCAGAGCCTTCAGTCTTGTTTGGGCGTACTGGGCAAAGTGTCAGAGTTTACTCGAGTGTATGAGGCTATGAAGAAGGAGCGTGATGCTCTTTCTGACAAGTACAAGGCTGCTACTGATGCTCTGAAGATTGAACGTGCTAGATATAGGGAATGCATTACTAAACGTGATGGGCTGAAGAGAACCTTGAAGGAGGCTAGAAACGAGGTTGTTGATGCTGCAGCGTATTACTTTGGTAAAGCTCGTCTTGAAATGATGGAGGAGTTTCAGCAAGGAAAGCATGAGACCTGAGATTATGATGCTGATAAGGCTGCTTTTGAGATTGCATTTCCTGCAGGGACTGCTGCTCCTGGCACATTGTTGCTGAGCTATGCTGATGAGGAAATGAATTCTCCTCACAACGCCGAGGTCAGGGATGTCTCGGAGAGTACGAAGTCTGTTGCTGAGGAAGTGGTCCCTGCTGATAACATGGACGAGAATTAGTTTCAATGGTGTTGTGGCACCTTAAAAAATTTGTTAACTTTGAAGGATGTTTATTTTTACTGCCTTAGTGTAGTTGGATAATTTTATTTTGTCTTTGTGCTACACTTTTGTAGCTGGATAATTTGCATGTTTTGTTGCTTTGCAACTAAGTAATTCTGCCTCTTTTGCTATGTTGATATGTATTTATGTTTCTTATTGTATCATAGTTGTCTTACGGTCGTATTGCAGTTGTATTACAGTTGTAATATGAATGTAGTGTTGCTTACATGTGTTTGCTTGTTCTGTGAGGTCAGTTGGTTTGTTCCTTGCAAGGATGATTAACCCTTGCTCTGTGATGGCCTGTTGTGCTCTTGCCTAGTAGTGTAGGTATTGCTCCTTGCAAAACAGAATAATGTGAGGGGTGGCCGTGGGTTTCCCCAACGGCCCTCCGATGCCAAAGTCAGTACTCGTAATGATCATAAATTGAATTGACAAAGTGTGAGTAGAGAGGAGTACCTTTCATGCTGATTTTGGCTGTTGGAGATTTTTGTGCTTTTCTGTTTTTCTTCTTTTTTTTTTGCTTGTTTTTCTGTTTTTGTTTTTTTTTTGCTTGTTTTTCTGTTTTTTTTTTGTGTTTTTTGCTTGTTTTTCTGTATTTTTTTGTGTTTTTTTTTGTGAAAAGAGATAAAATCGAAATGATAACTACGTACCTTCGCTCCTCAGAAATGATATAGCTTTAAGTGCGCTGCATTCCAGCTTTGTTGTACCTCTTTTCCTTCTGCATTTCTGAGTCTGTAGGCTCCGTTGCCTACCACCTTAATGATCTCGTAAGGTCCTTCCTAGTTGGGTGCTAATTTCCCTGCGTTTACTTCCCTGGTATTTTCGTATGCCTTTCTGAGAACCCAATCACCCAGCTTGAAGACTTTTATTCTAACATTCTTGTTGAAGGATCTTGCTACTTCTTGCTGATATGTTGTCATACTCATTTTTGCGTCTTCTCTAAGTTCTTCCACTGTGTCTAGGTTGTGAATTAATTCTGCTTGATTCCTTTCTTCTATCATTAACCTGTATCTTGCTGTGGGGACCTCTACCTCTGTTGGGATCACTACTTCACATTCGTACACTAACGAGAATGGGGTGTGGCCTGTAGCGCCTTTTGGAGTTGTTCTGTTTGCCCATAGTATGTTGGGTAGTTCGTCTGCCCATTTCCCTTTTGCTCCTTCCAGCCTTTTCTTCATGTTACCTATGAGGACTTTATTGATTGACTCTGCCTGTCCATTTGCTTGTGGGTACTTAGGTGTAGACGTGATAAGGGAGATGTTCCATTCCTTACAGAACTTTGTAGTCTTATTACTGATGAACTGGGATCCATTGTCTGTAATGATCTCTGCTGGTACTCTGAATCTACTTAGGATGTTTCTTTTTATAAACGATATGACGTGCTTATCCTTGATTTCCTTGTAGGCTTTGCTTCGATCCATTTTGAAAAGTAGTCTGTCATTGCTAAGAAGTATACTCTTTGTCCTGATGATGGAGGAAGTTTTACTATATCCATTCCCCACTTCATGAATGGCCAAGGTGTCAGTGTTGGATGTAGCTCTTTTGATGGCATGTGTGTCAAGGGTGCGTGTTTCTGGCATGCTAGGCACCTTTTGGCAAATTCTGCTGCGTCCTTTCTCATGCTGGGCCAGTAGTATCCCATTCTAAGTGCTCTGTTGGCTAAATTCCTTCCTCCAGAATGATTTCTGCATTCTCCACTGTGTAAAGACTGTAAGACTTGTTGTGCTTCCTTTTCTTCTAGGCATCGTAAGAAGGGGACTGCTGCAGATTTCATAAAGAGTACATTGTTGATTAGGCAGTACTTGGAGGCTTTTTGAGCAAGTGCTTGAGCTGCTACTTTCCCTGTTGGTTTCGTCATGTCTAAGAGGTACTCTTTCAGTGGTGTTGTCCAGCTGCTGCCTTCTTTCTCTGTAGGGTTTTCTTGAACTTTGTAGACGCTCACAGTCGATTCTTTCTCTATGGCTGGGGAGAGTACGTGCACTAGGGGGATAGCTCCGAATTCTTCTGGGTTGATGTTTGATCCCAAGTTTGCTAGGGCGTCTGCTTCAGTGTTCAAGTTTCTGGGTACTTGATCTATCTTGAATTTCTTGAACTCTTTAGTGAGCTTCTTTGTGACTTCCAGGTAGGCTATCATCCTGGCATCCTTTGCTGCATATTCTCCGTTGACTTGATTTACCATGAGTAAGGAGTCCAAAATTACCTCTAGATGTTGTATCTTCATGTCCTTTGCAATGGTTAACCTTGTGATTAGCGCTTCGTATTCAGCTTCATTATTGGTGGCTTTGAAGTTGCACCTTATTGCCTGTGCTATCTTGTCTCCTTTGGGTGATGTCAGTACTACTCCTAGGCCTACTCTGCGTACATTTGCTGCGCCATCTGTATGGAGTATCCACTTCTGTGTAGCTTTTGGCTCCTGTAGTGCCAATACTTCTTTTTGTGCTTCTTCCTCAAAAGTTGGGCTGAAGTCTGCTACGAAGTCTGCCAAGGCTTGTGATTTGATTGCAGTCCTGGGCTCGTACTGTATATCGTACCTGCTCAGATGTAAGGCCCATTTCTCCATCCTTCCTGACATTTCTGGCTTTCTCATGATAGCTTTGATGGGGTAGTTGGTGCGTACTCGTATGGAGTGGCTTACAAAGTATGGGCGTAACTTTACTGAAGCAGTAACTAAGGCTAAAATGATCTTCTCTAATGACGCATACCTTGTTTCCGCACTGAGTAAGGTTTTGCTTACGTAGTAGATTGGGAATTGCTCCTTGTCCTCTTCTCTCGTGAGGACCGCACTGACCGTCCCTTCAGACACTACGAGGTACAACTGGAGTGGCTCTCCTTCCTTAGGCTTAGAGATAATCAATGGGTTGGCCAAGTATTCTTTCAGCTTCTGAAATGCTTTGTCGTGCTCCTGCTCCCACTTGAATTCCTTATTCTTCTTCAATACTTCGTAAAAGACTCTGTTCTTGTCTGAAGATTTTGAAATGAACCTATTCAATGCTGCGATTTTCCCTGTTAAGCTTTGTACGTCCTTCTTCGACCTTGGTCACTCTAGGTCTAGGATGGCTTTGACTTGGTCTGGGCTGGCTTCTATTCTTCTTTGCGTAACCATGTATCCTAGGAACTTTCCTGACTGTACTCTAAATGTCCATTTTGTGGGGTTCAACTTCATGTTGTAATGTTTCAGGATGGCAAATGCTTCTCTAAGGTCTCTGACGTGATCTTCTTCCTTTTTGGACTTTACTACCATGTCGTCTATGTAGACCTCTATTGTATTTCCTATTTGCTCTTCAAACATCTTGTTCACCAACCTTTGATAAGTTGCTCCGGCATTCTTCAATCCAAAAGGCATTACTTTGTAGCAGTATATTCATTGACTAGTAATGAAAGCGGTTTTCTCTTGGTCATCCTTGTGCATGAGGATTTGATTGTAACCACTGTACGCGTCCATGAAGGATAGTAGCTCGTGCCCTGCTGTGGCGTCTACCATGGCATCAATATGAGGTAGAGGGAACGGATCCTTTGGGCATGCCTTGTTGATATGTGTGAAGTCTATACAGATGCGCCATTTTCCGTTCTTCTTCCTGACTACTACTACGTTAGCAAGCCATTCCGGGTACTTTACTTCTCTGATCTTTCCAGTCTTCAATAGGTTTTGGATTTCTTCGTTAATAATCTTGTTCCTTTCTGGCGCAAATTTCCTTCTCTTCTGCTTTACTGGTATATGTAGTGGATCTACATTCAGCTTGTGAGTAATTACGTCTGGAGAGATGTCTTTCATGTCTTCATGGGTCCAAGAAAATACATCTTTTTCCTCTTCTAAAAAGTAATATATTTGTTGCCTGAGTTCTGACTTCAATTCTGATCCTATTCTGACCTTTTGGTCTGGATGTTTGGGGTTCAACTGGACTTATGTAGCTTCTTGTTCTTCTGCTATGCTTAACTTTTCTTGGCCCAGTTGACCTTCTGATTGCTATGCTGAACTCTTTTCTGCAGATGTTGCTTTTAGTGCGATCTTGTAACATTCCTTGGCTTCCTTAGGATTTCCTCTGATTTCTTGAATACCCCACCTAGTAGGAAACTTAATGACTTGATGGTATGTAGAGGGGATGGCCTTCATCTCATGTATCCAGGGTCTGCCTAATATCATATTGTACGAAGATAGAGTGCCAATCACTAGGAACTTGACCTGTAGGTTGATTCCTTTTGCGTACGTGGCCAATGGAATCTCTCCACTTGTCTTCTTGGTTTCCCCACTGAATCCCACTAACATTGTTGACTGGTTGACAATGTTCTTTTCGTCTATGTTCATATGTTTCAGAGTGTCAAGCATGATGATGTTTGCAGAGCTTCCATTGTCAACTAGGATTCGCTTGATCATGCAGTTTCCAACTGGGAGTGAAATCACTAGGCCGTCATGATGGCCTTCTACTACATCGCTTTCTTCAAACATGATGGGAATGTCTATCTTGGACTTCTCCCTCTTGTCAGGTTGATCCTTGTTACTCTCCTTTGCATGCCACTTTGCTGCTGAGTATGTTAAACCACATACTTCCGATCCTCCTGATATGAAACAGATGGTTTTTACAATTGGAGGCGGAGGTGGAGGACCTCCTTGCTTAGATTCTCTTTCCTTCCCTGAAGCTTTAGATCTATCTGACAGGAGTTCTTTGAGGTAGCCCTTTTTTAGCAGGTATGTAACTTTCTTTCTGAGCGCGACACATTCATCAGTAGTGTGACCGATATCTCAATGAAAATCACACCATCTGGACGAATCTTTCTTCTCTCCAGGCCTGTCACTCTTCCTGGGCCATTGCACAGTATCTCCCATCTTATTTAGGGTCCTAATTACTCCTGCAGGGTTAACATTGAAGCAATACTCATGTAACTTAGGTGGGAGTTTAGGGTCTACCCTCCAATCAGAAAATCCTTCTTCGACAGCATTGACTGATCCTTCATCAAAGCGGGAACGCTGATACGGCTTGAATCGAGGATCCCTTCTAGGAAAATTGTTGTTCCTTCTTGACTGGCGATCTGGCTCGGGAGTCTTTCTTGCATACGCATCTTCCTCAAATCTGACTTGAGCCATAGCTTTGGCTTGCACATCTTCAAAGGTTGTACAGGGATATTTGGTCAACTCCTTGTAGAGCTCCCTATGGTCTAGCAATCCTCTTCTGAATGCTTCGATTGTTGTGGGAGCATCACACTTATGTATTCCAATCTTTTCCCTGTTGAACCTGTTAAGATAATCTCTCAAGGATTCACCATGTCTCTACACAACGCGGTACAAATCTGAAGACTGCTTTTCGATTTTTCTGCTGCTAGCAAACTGGACCTTGAATAGGTTCACCATTCCTGCAAAAGATCGAATTGTCCCATTATCTAAATTAATGAACCAAGTTAGAGCTGGACCTGATAGCGTGGCTCCAAAGCCTTTGCACATGATAGCCTCTCTGATGTCTCTAGGGATTGAGCTTGTCATCATCTTCTGCTTGTAAAGGGATACATGCTCATCAGGGTCCGTTGTTCCATCATACATGGTCATATTGGGCGTGTTAAACCTCTTTGGCACCTCTACCATGGCGATCTCTTCTGAGAATGGAGATTCTATATAGCCATCTGCTGCCTCTTCTTCCATGGGTTTCGGCATTCCAGGAATTTTGGCGATTTTGGCCTCGATTGTCTTGAGGTATTCCTTGACCATCTTCTCTACTTTTCCCTCTTCGGCTCCTTCCTCATTGTCCTTCTTGGGGGTTCCTGCATCCAAAAATTCTAGATCCAGGGTTGCTTCCCTGTTGTTAGATCCTTTTTCCCCGTTAGGGGTGTGAAAGGTTCCGGACATGTCGAGCTACATGGCCATACTTTCAGTGCTTTTTCTGGTGTTAACGGTTTTAGATGAAACTGATTGTATTTGGATGCGAAGGGCTTCATTTTGTTTGGTAAGGCTGGTGAGTTTGGCTTCAGTTTAAACTTTTTGAGCCAGCAGTGTTTCAATTTGGCTTCTCTGCTGGTCTAAAGTTTGGCGGAATGCGTTCATTCCTTCATTAATTTCGGCAATATTAAAGGGTATTGGTTGCCCAGTCATGGTGTTTGTCTTGGTTTTTTGGCGAATTGGTAGGTTAATTGATTATCAGCCCCACGATGGGCGTCAAATTGTTTAGGCAAATCTCAATAAGGGCATCTAAGAATTTGATAGATTTGAGGGGTAATAACAATCATTCTACCAACAACATACGAAATAACTAAGAGCGATGATAAATCAATAAGTAATCAATAAGTAAGCAGTAAATATTCAATTATATAGGAAAGATGAGTTTAGAGATACAATACTGGGTAAGGATAGGCCTCCTTGTTCAGTAGGGATGCAATTCCGTAGATAAAAGTAGAGCAAATTGTTTATATTTAAGTATATGCGAACGTACATGAGTGTTAAAATGTCTTATTCTTCTTATTTATATCTAGGGATCTCTAGGGTTTACAAATATATTCAGAATATCTTTGAAATGTATAAGATCTTCTTGATTTATCTTGTTTCCTGCTCTGTAGGTGTATCTTTGGCAAGTATCTATTTGATTGATATGCTTAACGCTGCTTTCCTTGTTTATTCCAATCAGGCCGTTTTGCGTATTCTCACTGATTCATTGATCTTGTCTTGGTGCCCTAAGTACAATGGGTCATGTGATAATACGGGCCCAACAGACACCAAGTTACTATGCTGAGATTTTTATTTTTCTACTAAAAAATCTTAACTGCTTTGATGAGAATTTTACTTTCTTGCTAAATCATCGGAATATCCTGCTCGTTGAAAAAATACCAATTTCTTCTGAAAAAATCTGGCTGACTTGCTGAAAGATCTAGATCTTCATGTAGAGCAACATTGTTTCCTTGCAAAAATTTCAAATCCTCTTCTGAGAAGCTTACAACCTCGCTAAAATTCTTATTTCTCTGTTGGAAATGCTGATTCCTTCTGCTGAAATTTGCGAGGATATAGCTTTTTCTTCTTGAAAATCTTGTTGATTTTTGAAACGTCTGATTATCCTGCTTGCTAAAAAGTTCTGATTTCCACTGGAATCTTCGATTTTCTTGCTGAAACCTTGACTGACTTGGTGAAAAATCTGATTTCTCTTGTTGAGAAACCTTACTGCTTTGCAAAAATCTTGAATTGTCTCCTGAGAAACTAACTACCCTGCTGAAACTCTTATTTTCCTATTGGAAAAACTGAGTGCTACCGCGTAAATTCTTTGGTAGTATTGATTTTTCTTCAAAAAAAATTCTTGTTGCGTTGCTAAAAATTCTGATTTTCTTGCCAAAAACCTGGTTGGTTCCCTGGAAAATTTTAAACTTCCTACCAAAAATTCTGATTTTCTCCCACTTTGTTAGCTTCAGATTGCTTCTCCTTTGTGTTAAATGTATGATACTCATTTTTGAGGAGCTGTAGACTTATCACTGTTGATCATTATTTCAAAATTTCCTGTGGTGCCAAAGATGCTTTCGTTTTTATATCTTCTCTATAAATTCTTATATGCTTCATTGAGGAATTTCTGATCAATTGAGCTGCTGTTCTTCTCGAGACCTCTTATTTATTTTATTTATTTGTTCCTGTCTCTGAACTATATATCGCTCATAAATTGCTGATTTTGGCGAAGCTTGTTCAGGTTGCGCTCCGAATCACATTGCTATTGAAGATCAGTCTGATTACATTTTCTTCAGAAAATATCTTAGCAGAGACTCCAGTTAAACTAATATTCCGTGGAGCTCTTGCATTCTGATCCCCTCGTAAACAATGCTTAGACACGGTTTAGGTTAATCTCCCTTAAAATGCTGCAAAGCTGGACTTCTTGCTCTTAATCTTCTTCATCTTCACGATCATGACATCCTAGGGGAACAAGTATCGCTTTGATATTTTATCCGACACAAATACACTCTTTTTTCTGCAGAAATAGCTATTGAAAGAGGTAACAAAATCTTAAACTTAGAGCTGATCAGAATTTGAGGGACCCCATAATTTGTGGAATTATCATCATCATTAGTCTTGGTAGTGGAAATTTTCTCTAATCTGATTGGATGCAGTAAGTATCACATCTGGCAAGCAACTTTTACTAAGGAATTTCGGCTGTAAGAAACAGGATCTGCAAGCCTTGTTAGTCACATTTTGCTACTGCAGCTGCTTCTGTATGCTGCTCTTCAAGATCGCTTTCAGTTGATCTTGCCATGTTGTAGGTGAATACTTTTTGAATCTTATAGCAGCTCTTTTCTTTCTTGATATCTTACTGATCGCAAAATGTAAGATTGTAAGGCTTTATTTGTAAGACTCTTTATCAACCTTATTTGCCAGAACTCGTAACAACTAAGTGGGAACTTGATTACGATCAGATAAAAAGCAACTGATCTGTCCATTCTCCTCTAAAACTGTTGGTTATCCACCAGCTTTAGTGTGCTCATTTGGAGCTTGCCTTCTTGCTGACAGATGCTACTACAGTGACTGTTGTTAGACGCCTTACTTTCACGGGTCATCTCCCACACCAAGGATGGGCGTCAAGAGGGTCACTAGGCAGCAAGGCAACAATCGAGGCTAGGGGGCCTGCCGTGGTGCTCAGCTAAGCACTTCCCCCCTAAAGAGCTTTATATTGAAGGTGCCTTGTATTACTAGTGAATATCCACTTGACAGTAACACAATAATGGGCCATTTGGACAAGATAATGGGCTCTAAATAGGCTCAAATTTTGGGATCCGCCATATTTTGGGCCAAGGAAGACCATGGAGGTGCCAGTTTTCCAAACGGAGGTCCGAAGTATGAGTTTGGGCAGTGAGCAGTTCGGAAAACGTGAGATGCTTCTAGAAGGTTCTGGGCTTCTCTAAAGTGTTCTTTTTGTAGAGTATTCTAGAGGGAATGTCTCTAGAATATTCAAGGGTCATCTTGTACATAGTAGAAGTGTCTAGGGTCTTCTATGTATGTACATAAGATTAGGGTGGTCTTAGACATTCTAGCTAGGGAAGGATGTAGAAACCTCCTTGTATGTATGTTCCTTTGGAGGTGGGAACGTTCTAGAGATTAGTGGAGTCTAGTAGATCTTGAACCCTCCATTTGAGGAGGTTAGGAATTCCCTAGAAACTTAGGGTAGAGCTTGGATGCCTATAAATAGGTCATCCCATTTATTTGTACATTTTAGCCAACACAATTGTAAAATTCTCTCAAGTAATCAAAGCTTTCCTTTAAAATCTTTTGTGAGCGTCTTTCTTATCTTACTTAGCCAAATTCGTAGCACACTTAGTCTAGCAAAACAAGGGGAGTCCTAATTAGGAGACTAACGGGTGTTGTCGACTAGTGGACCGCGTGCAAGGGGACTTAGGCAAATAAGTCAGCACGTGACGTTACGCTGAACTTGGAGCTTCGCCTGCTAAAAAAGTGACGATAAAATTTCTTGTACTGTTCACTATGCCAGCTTCATCATCAAATATTTATTTTTATTTCTCATTGTTGTCTAAAATGGACAGACTTCCTAAGCCGACACTTCAGCTAGACTAGTACTCCAATTGCTAAGGGATGTCATGAACCTACACTCCAGCTAGACTGTTGTTCTATGCGTGGAGCTTTTTCATGAGTTCTGACTGAGCTTTTAGATTTTTGCCAGCGGGTGTCATGAACCGTCGTCGATCAAGGCCAGGACATATAGTATGCGCTACTCTAAACCCAGTAATTGCACTATAATAATCCTAGCTGCCGAGCTTTCAAATTTGCAAGTCATTCATCAATGCTATTATTACCTGAGCTAGTTGTTGTAGTTCTTCTTTATTGCTCATCTGAAATATTCTAAAACTAACAAAATTTGTTGTATAGAAGAATTTGACTTCGAACTTATTGTCCCTTATCCATTTATTGAATTGTGGGAGTGAGTCTAGAAATATATTGGGCTGGCTCTGTGCGCTTCCAATTTCTCCAAGTGCTAGTTATTATTTATACATAACTTGAGCATAAGGACCACAACTTGAATGCTTCTTGATGAACCACTTCAGACCATAACATGTAAGATGGTTTTTCTAAGGGATTGTCATCAACCTTTTCCAAAACTTGCAACCATTGTGAATTCAAGGATGCTTAGATTATTAGTAGTAATGTTAACCACTCTCCCCGAAAAATGCTTTGAAATATTTATTTTGACTGAGAATGTGGGCAGAAGAAGATGCCAAAGTTGCCTGTAATGAGCTTCAGCTCAGTTGAACTTTTTATCCTCGAAATTGTTGTGTGCCTACCACTAACTATATGGTAGCTAGACAGCTTCATCAGAGGCTCCATTTATGTTTGCTGTAGACTCAATCAGGTCTTCAATCTCTGCCGGAACAAGACTTCTTTTACTGGAGACTGAGTTCTTGGGATTAAACTTGCTGTAAGTCATAATTTACCATGTTATGAGATCTCTCATTAGCAAGCTGTATATGGGGCTCTTAGCCTACGAATCATTTCCTATTAGCTAATCTGTACACTCTCTGCTTTTTACCAACCTATTTCTGCAAGAACAGGTCATGTCTTGCTCCCTTTTCGTCGTGAATTATGATATCACAATCTTTGTAGCTGCTTTCATCGCTCGAATATACCCATCACGGAACTTGCTTGTTGCTATATAATCAATAAAAAGTGAGGGATGTGCTGTTGCACACTGACTTTTGAGCATATGTAGCGGCACAAGTCAAAGAACGAGCCATCTCTCTGTCAAATTGCAATCGTGGGTACCTCCACTGCTTTGTAGTTCTCATTCTTCGTAGCAGGTGCACTTGATACTTTATTGCTTTTGTACAATATTCTGTAAGAATAATTTTTCTTTTCATACTTCTCAAAGAAGATGC